ATAGATATAGATATAGATATAGATATAGATATAGATATAGATATAGATATAGATATAGATATAGAGGCTGGTCTCACTGTTGGCTCATAACACAGAACCTCCAAACCACAGAGGCAAGAAATCCACGCTGTCTATAGTGTATTCCAGGCCAGCCAGGGTGTGTCTCCAAAAATAAATAAATAAAAGCTGTCTTTTGTTTCTTAAGACTGGGTGTCATGTAGCCCAGGCTGGCCTCGAATTTGCTATATAGCTGCAGCTGACCTTGAATTCCTGAGCACCTTGCCTCTCCTTCCCAAGTGTTGGGACTGTCTTTCCTAAAGCAACAGAGTTCTCTTATCTGGTATGAGGGTAGAGGTTGCTAGAAGATGGGGAACTCCTCAGACCCAGGCCCTAACTTACAGCAATTTCACATCTCTGCAAGGGGTAAAGGTCAGGAAGTGGTCTAGTCTCCCCGGCCTTTGGTGCTACTTGAAAGTCAAGATACACCTGTCTAGGAGTAAGGGGGTCTGCAGGACAATGGGACAAAAAGGCGAAGACTGAAAGTCTCAGACTCTGCAGGCTATGAGCTGTGTGCTCGGGTGAATTAAAACAAAATGGTGACTCATCACCAAACTCTCCTTCACAAGGACATTGGCAAGTGGATTTCAGAGGGGCCAATCGAATAATACAGTCGGTCTTCAGTGGCCAACACATCAGCACTGACATAAAACCAAGAAAGCACAGCTCACTGTATGCTCATGAAGCATATAGGTCAGAGCATGGGACCCTCAAGCAGAGACTCAGATAGGACCAAAGTGGGCTCTCCCTCCCTCTGACCCTTGCCCTGGGACCTGCCAGCTTACAGTAAAGTGATGCAAAATCACTATCTTGTCAGAACTGGGGACACCAACCCCACCTCAAAATAAGAGCTCAGCAGCTCTCAGCATACCTCAGCCACACCCACTAATACTGTGGACATGGGTTTCACAGCAGAGATGATAGCCAAGTCACACCTTTTCCCACTGCCCATGAGAGGGCCAGGATGTCCTGTGTGTCCCTCTTCCATCAAGTCCCTCAGCCATGAAAGGATTTCTGCTGCAGGTGAGCCCAGACAGAGTCCCCTTGATATGTTCATCAAATCCCTGGGCTGTTCCCATTCATTCAGTAAGCATTTGTGTTCGACAGAACATAGGCCTAATCCTGTGCCCTAAATGTCTGTTAAGGAAAACGAAGGGAGATTATTCTTACCAAGCACCTGCCACACAGGGGGCATAGTGGAAAGGCAGTTGTTTGAGTCTGAGTTAAACATTCCTGCTTTACAAACAAGGAGGTTTGCTTGCTGAGGCTGAGAGGCCAAGTTATCATATTAGGAGGCGGGTGCCCAAGTTTCTTCCATTGCACCATCCTGGCTCGCAAGAGGGGAGATAAGGAAAGCCCAGAAATAACACTAACACGAGGCAGAAGGATTGGGCACAAAGACAGCCTCAGACACAGAAATATGGGTGCCAGAGAAAGGCATGACTACCTTTGACCAGAAGTGGGGAATGATTGAAGGTGGTCTTGTTTTTGAAAGGCATCTGGAAAATCTTTGAAAGGTGGGAGAAAGGTTCTGTCATGCAGACACAATGAGATGAACAGAACCAAAGCACTTGATAAGCGCTGAGTAAAGCCACATGGGCCACACAGCGAAGTTCCAGCGGGGTATCACAAAGCTGCCAAGAAGAACTTACACCATCATCTACACAACAAGTTGGGGGAAGAACAGTGCACAGACAGCCCACCAAGGAGAAAGCATCTGGAGCTCGATGATGAGGCAGCCCCAGGGTGACAGCTTCAGAGGTGTGGAACAGGGAAGGAAGTCTAGGTAGAAACCACTGGTGCCTGTGAACTGCCGACTGCAGGCCAGGGAACTTGCCATGGAGACATTTAGTATATTCTCAGCTAATTTTCAAAACAGAACAATCACTTCTATGTGTGTTGGGGGGGGGGCACGCCTGCATGACAGATACAGAGACGGGATGAATTTGGCCATCTTTACACAGTTAAGTGTCTGTCATGGGAGGGGACTTGAATTACATATTGCTTGGGGCAAAATGGCCAAAGCAGAGGCAATTCATGGTAGTCACCTACATAAGGAGAGAAAGACCAAAGAAGACAGACAGCCTCTCCCCTAAAATACAAGTGCAAGTGTAAAGACAAAGCTAGTAAAGGGAGAAGACTGCGACCTAGCAAGGAAGTTACAGCCTCTGCAGTACAAGGCAGGCTGTAGGCTGCCTGAAGGCTGCAGCATTGGGTCTACAGTATCCTTCCCTGTACCCAGAACACCAGCCACTCAGGGTGTCAAGGGCTTCTCCCCTCTTCGCACACCTTTTGGGGAAGAGCAGCTTTGCAGAAACATGAGAAAAATTACTAGCAGCCACATACTCAACCCCACTAGAATTGGATAAAATTAACTTGCAAAAGACAGCATGCTATAACTAGCTTTGAGTTCCAACCTTTCTATATCTATTTAATTAAAGGCTCTTGTGTAATGTGAACCCAATAGTCAGATTCATTAGACAGTGAGAACCTAATTCCACAACTGTTTCCGCTAATGAAACTGCAGTCTGCTTTAGAAGGTACCTCGAACAGGGCACGGGTACCAGTGATGGCCTGGGAACCCCAGGGGAGAGCATAAGGATAGGTTCCTCCGATGGGCACTCTCTTAGGGTAGCTCTTCTGCTCCATGGAACTGGAAGGAGGATCCAAAAGACAAGGTGGACCAAAGCCCTGGTTGGCAGTGAAGACAACCAGCTCATAGGCAGCTCTTAGTTGAGAGGGAAAATGGGTAGGAGGTAGTTGTCTATACCAACATAGGGCCAGTGAAGGAGACCTTGCCTACCTGAATGAGCCAGTAAATGCATTCTCAGTCGCAAACTATCCAGGAACCGTTTTCCGCAGAGCTCACACCCGTATGTCTTCATTCCACTGTGCAGCTTCCTGTAGGGGAAAAGAGAAGACAGGTTGCTGCTGCTCCAGCTGGACAGAAGGCAGTTCCCCACCCCCAAACTCGCCTACAAGCGTTCAGAGCCATCCCCAGCAAGGGAACAGGAGGAGGTGGTAAGGGTGGTACTGCTGAGAATCTCATCCCACCCCTGATTCCGGGACAGTCGGCCATGTGCCCCTGTGTCCATGGATTATTGTACCCATTCCTAACCATGTTCCTAGAAGGGCAGGGCACTTCTTATCGCTTTAAACACCGGTACTCAGACTCAGAAATCAGATGTGGGCTCAGAGAAGAAAGGTTCCAGCATCTGGAACTGTCAAACAAACAGAGGGTTCGCTGTCAAACTAGCCCAAATCATGAATGAAACCCTTCTGGACTTTGTTCACCTCCAGGCAGCACTAATTCACACCCCCACCATCACCACCACTGTGCTGTGCTGGACTCAGGCTCCTGCCATTTGCTGGACTCTGAAGGTTGCCCTGATGTCTTTTTTGTCTTTCTCCCCATCCCCAAAGCCCAGGATAGGGTCTTTCCAAATATGTCTAAGAAGGAACAGGGTCTATGGACATGGATGCTAGATGTTCTTAGAGTAGCTGTGATCTTCCGCCAGATCTCAACAAATGGAAGAACTGCAAAAACATCAGATAACTCCAATCTAGAACAAGGTTAGCCAGTCAAGGTTCTTGCAGAGGTGCCATCTCATTTACCACCATTACAATTCTATGAAGTGGCATGTTGTTACCATGGCAACAACTGGTCAAACACTCTGAGACAATCTACCTCTTATCCTAACTCCCTATTGGGGTATTTCTGCTCAGACCCTTTACCATGAGGCTGGTCATTTGCAAAGAACCCAGTGGACCCGCCAGAAGGGAGCTCAGCACTAGGGAGGGTCTTGGCTACCTATGTGGGTTGGTCCCAAATGTTAACCCTCCTCCCAACCACACTCCTACTGTCAAGCCCCAGTGGCCACTGCTGGATCCAAGATCTAGATAAAACACCTACCCCAATCTCTGTTTCTCCCCTGTCACTAAGGATCCAGAGATAGGCTCCGAGGACAGTGGTGCAGATGGGAGACAGGGAGCTCTCTGAGAGCCTGGAAAACCGCCAGGCAGCATGACTGTGTACTAAACCATGGTGTGCTGCAGAGCTCGAACCAGCCATGCTGGAGAACACTGGGTAGCAGTGTGTAATCAGACTGGCAGTGCCAATACCACAATGACACCCAACCACACTGCTACCAACTTACAGATCCCATCGCTACGCCAAAACCATTCAGTGACACCTAGGCGAGCCTTGGCAGCATGCCAAACAGCGGGCCACCACAGCATGAGGACAGCACCCAAAACCGTGTGCACAGCCTTCTGATTGATAGAGATCACAGACAGTTCTTGTTGCAGAACTCTTTCTCAATCACATTGTTCTGTTTGCTGCCTTCCTCTTCCCCCTTGCCAAAGACAAATGATTTCTCAAGCACAAACACATAAACACACACAGTCTCCCACAACACTGTAGGGCTCCCCACCCATCCCCCATGCGTTATCTCACTCTTGGCTGTGGCTGATCTATCCAAATTGAGAAAGAGTACAGAACATTTTTAACTGAACATTCTTTACTCTGATTATATTTCACAATGTCAGGGCACTGGGGCATGTCCGAATAGTGTTTGGGGCAAAGTATGTTTTTAAATAGGTACCCAGGCATATGTCTCTCTCTCTCTCTCTCTCTCTCTCTCTCTCTCTCTCTCTCTCTCTC